TGCCTCCTCCTTTAACATGCCTCAGCCTAATCATGCACCATGTCTGACAATTTTAATTGAGTCTTTCAATTGCAACCCCACCTACCAGAAGCTTCCTCATATCAACTGAGCCCATTGACGTCTAGATCACCCCCTCCAATGTGTTGATTCATCTTCAATCCATTAAACTCCTCCATCATCAGGCTGATCATAACCCAGTCACCATTATAGATATGCGATCGATTGCTCTTCTTCACGACCTTCCCTGTTCTAAAAAAAAAAAAGAAAGAAACATAAAAAGAAAAAAAAATTAACAAAAAAGAAGAAAAAGTTTTAAAAAAAAATTAGTTCATTTTTGCAATCCTCATCACCAGTTCTCAATCAGGTATAATTCATAAACTCAAAATCCAGCATTTGCGGTGAGGCGGAGGACACCATATTCGAGCTCTCATAGCACAATAGGTGGGATATCGATACGATGCTTACAAAGAGGCAAGTAGGTCATGTACACGCTCTTTGTAGTGTGGCGGGGATGAATCTAAGTACCCATACACACTTCAATGCCTGCAGGGAAAAAAATTGTGTATTTTTAAATAGGTACCTTGAAGACCCATAAATACTCTTCATAATGTGGTGGGGATTGAAAAATCATGACCGCAATATCATCTAACATCTACCATACATTCTTTTTGTAGTGTGGTGTGAAGGATCATACTCCCATATTTTCTCTAAATGGTGGAGACATCGAGAGGCTACTGAAATTCATAGAAAACAGAGGACCTTATTTGAACAAAGACACGAGGGACTAAATTTTCAAATTATCGAACCATAGGGAAGTGGACATTAAACTAATAAATCTACCAACACATTAAAAATACAAATGCCAAATAATAATCTGAATCATTCAATTAAATATCAGAGTGCAAGCAAATGATATGTGGTTTTCAACATAACCACCTACAAATAATAAAATTGAGGAAAATACATCATTTGCTTATCAACAAAAGAAAACAATCCCTAAATAACACTATAAATCATAAGCAAGTGGTAACAATTGATGTGTAGCATTCATGTCAATCATGAAAGTAAGTACAATGGCCCTTGTAAGCAAGCATTAATAAGCAACAATTTCCTATGAATGATGAATGACAAAATTAAAGTGACAAATAACATTCAACCGACCAATTAACAAGTAGGAGTGAATGACTCTTAAGTACAGTAAAAATGTTATGTATGCAAGCTCCTACAAACTATTGTAAGGATTTTTTTCAAGCATACAACGACTAACCTACAGATTAAATGGGCAATGATAGAAGACTTGGCATATATATAATGCTCCCATTTACAAATGATAATGTAAGGCTTAGAAATAAACATGATAGATCACTAATCAACATGCATGTGGAGGTAAGCAATGAATGAAATGACAACCTGTAGTTAATACCAACACACAAAAAGGCATATCAAATCATCCAAGCACTGAAAGACATGGCATGATAGTCGTAATTAGCATAAGTAGCATGTATATAAATGAAGTATGAAGAGTATTCCAGCGGGTATAATTGCATGCTTATAATCAACATAGACAAACTTACCCCTATGGGTACTCCAATCTCCCACAAATGCAAGGCCAATGTACAATGAGCATAATGACTCACCAACTAACATGTATGAAGAAATTAGAAACTAACGCAGTTTTATTAGTAGGCAACACATATTTTCAAATGACCACATAAAGTTACATATGAGCAATGGTTATGGATAAGCTATAGAGGGACTACAATAAATATAGGCGCCTTCGAGTAGCTGTATGAGACCCAACATGAGTTTAACATATTTTCTATAAGCAAATACATGAATAATGGTTACAAAAGCAAACACCTACAATCAGCATTAAAAGATCTGCATTCGACACAGCTTGCCCATATACAATAGCTAAGGGCTTCTAATTCATATAACAATCATATCTACAAGTATGATGATGAATGTACGGCCAATATGATGGATCTTCAACAGACAAAAGATAGGAGATCATGGTGAATGTGAATGTCTACTAGCAATACTGGAAGATTGTTTGTGTGCGTAATAATATACCTATAAATAATGACCATCGATAGAAAATGAATGCAATAATGCCCTATAGTCAGCACCCATTCAATAGAATGTAAATGCATTGATGCCTCACAAGAAAAAATCAAGTGATTAATATGCAATGTTCACATCAACACTACCCTATAATCAGAAGGTATATATGTGTGTGGAATAATAACTTGTCAACCAACATACATAAGGAACCAGTGATGAATGCAGCTAAATTGGTAACCTATGTTAGCATGCTAGCATACTAAGCTTGCTTACAAATTATATTATTTCCTATGAAAGCCCATGGACAGTGGTGATAGTAGATATGTTGCAAAAATGTTGAATCCCCTATGTAAATAGACATGCACATGATGTGATATTTTTGAGCAGGGGTTAAAGATCACAATAAGTACATGAGGATTATAATAGATTCAAGCTATCTACGAGCCACTATAGAAGGCCTGTTATGTGTAAAACATGATATATACAAGAAAATATTGGAAGGAATGTAGTAGATGCAAACACTGGCAATGACAGAAACTTTGTCATATGCACAATAATATATATACAAGTGGTAGTGAACAAGTTGTGGATGTTACAACATCAATACGATCAACTAGCATTCAAATAGCAAGAAAATACGTCAATCCATTACAAGTAGGGGAGGATGATGTGCAGCAA